CCGCTACGAGTCGGATCTACGTAGAGAGACCCTGTAGACCCTGTCCTCAACACAGAAAGAGGAAAAAACCCACAGCCGACTGCCTGTCTTCCTCCCTCCCTCCTTCCTTCCTTCCTTTTTTTTTTTTTCTTTTCTTCATTTATTTCTTTTGTTTTGTTTTGTTTTGTTTGAGATTTCTCTCCAAAAAGAGATCTCTCACTAAGTGGCTCAGGCTGGTCTTGGACTGATAGCAATCCTCCTGCCTCAGGAGGGGGGATTACAGGAAGGAGGGACTACAGTGCTGTAATCCCTCAAAATATATGAGCAACTCTTACAGCACGTAGTGAAAAGACAAATAATCCAGTTAAAAACTGGCAAAAGATTTGAAGAGGTATTTCTCCAAAGAAGATAGGCAAATTATCTGACTTCATTAAGTCATTAGAAAAGTACAAATCAAAATAACAATGAGAGGGCAGAGAGATAGATAGTGCAGCAGCTTACGTGCCTGCCTGGCAAGTGCAAGGTCCTGAGTTCGATCCCCAGTACCGAAAAGAAAAGAAAGAAGAGAAGAGACTGCAGGCAGCAGTGAGCGATGGCTGGGGTGCAGTTCAGTGGAGCAGCACTTGTCTAGGATGCGCAAGGCCCTGCATCCAATGTGAACTGCAGCACACACACACACACACACACTCACACACACACACACTCACACTCAAACACACACACACACACACACACACACACACGATGTGGCTATAATAAAAAAAAAAGATAGGTAATAAAAAGCATGGAAGAAGAGGTGGATAAGTTATAACCTTGGACACTGCCAGTAGGGCATACAAGAGGGTAATAACTTGGGAAATCTTTTCTTTAAATGTTAACCACAGACTCATATATGGCTTAGGAACTCTGCTCCTGACCGATGAATAAATACAACGTAGATGTCCACATGAGGGTTTCCTCTTGGCATATAGAAACGAGCTCGGTGTGGACGCACACGACAGCGCGCATGAGCTTCAGACCACAGGCTACGTGATTTCAACTGCGCAAACTGTGAAGAAGTTAAGACTTGTGGGGACAAAAACACAGGTCAGTGCTTCCCACGGGCTGGAGGAAGGGGGACAGGAGTGATGACACACAGGCACGGCGCTCTGTGTAGGGTGACAGATCCTAACATCAGAGGTGACAGCGCCTGCAGCACTCTGACTGTGCTGAAGTTCGTTCAGCTGCACGCTTCTAAAAGAGTTTCTAAGTCTTGTAAATTATCTCAATGAAATATACTGTTATAAAAATTTAAATGTGCGAGGATCAAACTAGTCTTCCTTTCTATTGATCTAGGCAGGGGCATGCAGAAGGGCACGCTTCTTCCTCGCTGCAGAACTCGACCTTCTGAAATCACTGAAGTACAGGGAGAGACACGCATTCAGCACTTCAAACTGCAGGTTCCCGAAAAGCCGCACCAAGACCAAAACGAGCAGAAGAGGACTCTGCCCAGACTGCCTGTGTGGCGCAGACAGTGTGGTCCCCAGTGTCACCGCTGGAGGCTGAGGCTGGACGGCTTGGGCTCTCTCCCCTGAGGAACGGTGCAAGCCCGTGACCTTACAACTGGGTGAAACAGATCCAGGTCGCAGTTCCATGGAACTGGGAATCCTACGCAACCCCCAAGCCCACGCCGCTCTCTGCTTAGTCCAGTGCTCAGCAGCCACACGCTGAGGTGTGGCTTCCCTCCCAGCTGGCCCTCCAGCCCTGCATGGTGGCCGCGGAGGACATCGTCTTGCAGTAAAGCGACACCACCCGCCCGGGGCTGTGGGCGGCTCCGTGCCACCTGGCAGGGAACCACTAGGCAGGCGAGCTGCTTTCAGATTACAGTGAAGACAGCAGATTTCTGAAGCAGGTCTGGGAGTTCTTTAACTCTCAGTTGTCCAACACCTTGAGAAACAAGAGATTATGCGGTACTCGTGGCTGTACTGCAGACAGCCTGATGCGATGTGGCTCAGTGCTTGTGAAATCCCAACGAAGCAGCAATTCACGAAATGCCACGATAAGAACTTGCACAAGATCTGTCTTTGTCATTTATTTAACTTTGGTTTAATCATATTTAGAGTGGCAAAACCAGATGCAGGATGCAGTCAGTTGTCTTCACGAAAATCAACAGCTAGAATTTCTGAGAATTAAGTGAGCCCAGAGATAACATGAACTCATGACAGCAGGGCCCTTCCCTGGAGGTGTCACTACCGCGGTGTCAGTGACAGTGGTCATATGGGTTCAAAAATATGAAATAGAAACCTCCAGAAATAAACAACTCATAAGTTTTAACTAACTTTTATTAAAGTAGATGGTTACAATTGTTCTACTTTATTTTTAGTTCCTATCATTGATCATTTACTATGCCTAAGGCATATATTAAATCTTATTGTAGGTCCATGTGTGTAGGAAAAAGCATATTTGTAGCGGTAGGTAGCTACCTGTGGTCTCAGGCACCACGCACAGATAAGGGAGACTAACATGCAAGCCTTTAAAAACAACATTTATTTAGTGAAACAGCTTGCCTACCTAGCCACATAAAGTTATCAAATCTATGGTGTAGACCAGGTAGACATGCCTACAAGCCTCTCTGAGAGCTGTAGTTTGGGTACCATTTGAGGCATCCCCCAGAGCTTTAGGTCCGAGAGTCTGGGCCCCTGTGGGCGATGCTAAAGCGTGGAATCTTTAAAGGATGTGGCCTAATGGATTGTGAACTAGTCGCAGTGGGCTGTCCTGATTCAGGTATTTGTGCGGCTCTCCAAGGACCCTAGCTGGCTCCTGCCAGAAGAGAAACTGGCCCCTGATCTCCTCGGCTTTCTGTCTCACTGAAGATTCCCTCAGTGCACAGCTGGTTGACTTTCTGATTCTCCTCCACTTTATGATGAAGCTGAGACATGAGTGTCACGTCCTTAAACCTCCAAAAGTATGAACGAAATAGACCTCATGTCTTTATACAATAGTCAGACTCAGAGTGCCTGTCATTCTGGTCTTCTGAATACGGGCTGCTTGTTATGACATGCCAGTTGCTGCTGTGCTGTCTCTCAGGTAGATGATTGTTCAAAAAGGAGGTGGTGAATGACAGCAGGAGACAGGAAAAGGAATG